CTTTCTGATAACATTCATAAGAGGGTGTCCCCACTGAAATTTTCTAATAAGAGCAAACTTGAATTTTTCCGTCGGGGTAGAAATTTCTAATTCAGAGAAAAAGATTGCTTCTTTTCCACCTTTCCACTTCCCTTCTTAACAAAAGGACAATCATCTGTACCCTCGCGACATTTCTTATAGCTTGAATTCCTTATAACTTGAAGGGAATATCACCGCGGCCTCCACCTGAGGGTTACCCGCCACATGGGCAAAAAGAGACTTTGTCCGGCTCAACCAAAGAAGAAGGAAACGCCATCAGAGGCTGTCGTCACTAAACTGCTGCGAGATTACTGAAAGGCAGAGGAGCTGTCGAGCGCAGAAGCAGGAGCAACGCCGAAATAGAAGAAAACCAAACAGTCGGGCACAGACGATGAAGCGCGAAAGAGGCATGGAGCGATATCGAACAGGAGCAGTGTAGCGATATCGAGGAAGACGACGACGCGAGCAGTAGAGTGATTTCGCAACGCGAGCCGCGACAGGGAGCTGTGAACGTCGACGTCGACGTTCGCAGAGGCGCCAGACAACAAAGAGAGAGTCGACAATGCGAGGTCCTTTCCTTCCAGTAGTAGAATCAATTGTGACCGAAATCGTCATTGGATATATATATTATATATATATATATATATATATTTCCTTATTAAAAAATTATTAGTGAATCTACATCTTGATTTGATGCATTACTTTCTATGGGTGATCAAATCATTACAAGGTGTGATCGTTTTAGATATCTCGAGTCTTTTATTCAAAGTGATGGTGATGTAGATGGGGATGTTATTAGTAAAATTCAAGTTGGTTAGTTGAAGTGGAGGAATGCATTGGGCCTATTGTGTGATAGAAAAGTACCGCTTAGGCTGAAAGGAAAATTTTATTGATGGTCAGACTTGCAATGCTCTATGGCACAGAATGTTAGCCTTTAAAAGAGATGCATAAAACAAAGTTAAGTGTTCATGAGATGAGAATGCTTAGGTAAATGAGTGGCTAGACACTTAGAGAAAAAATGCAAAATGAATATATTCGTGATAGGGTTGGTGTAGCTCCAGTGGCGGATAAGATTAGAGAGAGTCGTCTTAGATGGTTTAGTCACATTCACATTAAATATCGACCATCTGATGATCCAATTAGTAGAGTAGATGTTTTAGGTTGCACTTGTATTAAGAAAGGCAGATAGAACTAAAAAGACTTGGGCATTTTGTATAAAAAATGATCTTAATCTGTTAGAATTAAATGAAAATGTGACACTCAATAGGATGCAATGGAGAAAAATGATTCATGTAGCTGGAGAAAAAATTCATGTAGCCAACCCCACTTAGTGGGATAAAGGTTTGTTGTTGTTGTTGTTGTTGTTGATGATTGTAAGATAATTTGTTTGCAACTTATCCATCATATTATTTAACTAATATATGCTTAATTGGTGTTAAAGAATTAAAAACTAATTCAAGCTTTATTAAATTGCTTGTTCATTCAAATTTAAAATATTATTGTCAATATAAGAAAAGGAGTACCAGTTCATTTTATTTAACTTGTTAATTATCTCATTTAAGTACTAATTCAATTAATTTAGACAAGTCAAGGAAAGCTTCATAATAGGAAAAAAAAATCCAAACAAGCTAAGTAATAACATATAAGAGGAAGTTCGGTTCGATCTCAAGTAAAAAATGAACAATTTTTAGTATGTATAACCCAAGTCCAACTTATGATGCACCCAACTTAGCTCTACTTGATTACAGCATTGAGCAAGGGTCGGCAGATGAAACTCCTACATAAAATTAAAACAATTCATGAGGACATAAGTCCAGATTCCGCCACGCAAAATCCTATAGCCTTAAAGAAACTTCCAACCGCTGCACGAGCCTTCAACTCGCTAAACTCTGGCAACACAATAATACATTAGCAAAAATGTAAAGCTAACAGATAGAAGCCAACAATTCCCAGTTACTGCAATCAAGTCATCCAAATATAAAGTAATATTTCAGTAAGGAGAACCCCAACTAGCAATTTCAATTACAATTTCAAATCCATTGCGTCTAGTCCCAAATAATTATTGCACCAACTGAGAAGGCCATTTAGCACTGTTATGACCAATACTCCTGTAAAGGCTGCATGTTATATTGGTTGTAGGTCTGACCTCATCCATTGTATGCATATAATTAATTCATTACGAATTAAAAAGTCTAAAAATTCGGGTAGTTATCTATGATACAACAAGGAACAACATTGAGAATGAACGCTTACATCAAAGTCTTCTATGAGTAAAGCCTCAACTTCAATATAAACAATTATCATCTATTTATTGGCTTATAATAAAATAAATTCACAAACTTCATAAAAAGTGATATGCAATGCAAAAAACCACCACTAATTAAAGTCCACATAACTGTATTTGTTGAAATACAATGTGTAACAAATATAATTTTTTTTTTTAAGTTCATCAAGCATTAATATTTTGGATATTTGAACAGAGAGACTTCATACTCCTACATATATGGGAGTAGAATCCTCTATAACTCGTAACTCTTAAAGTAAAACATCAAACATGACATTTGACTGCTCATAATAAACATTAATCCTACATTCAATAGTGTATAACATATTTTTAATAACTTAATTGCATATTTATTACAATATTCCAACTAAGAGTAGCATAATATGTTGTCAAGCATCATAAATATCAAGCGAAAATTAAAAAAAAAAGTACAATTTTTATGTTCTTATCTAAATAACAGTTATAAAAATACTTAATATGACCACATAATTAAGTAAATGTAAATAAAAATGATAATACACTTTTACATCTAAAATTTTAAAAAAAAGAAATTTACACATAATTCTTATTTATTTAAACATATAAAACTCAAAGTTTGATATTTACACTTAAAACACCTTGGTTTCATTAACCAATGCATGAGATGTGTATTTTAATTTTAAAAAGATGGTGATGTTGGTGTTTTTTATGTGATGTAGTAGTATGCATGTATATATGAATGTTAAGATGTTAGATATGTAAACACATAAGAATTGTGTGGTATGTATGTAAATGCCTCTAAAAAAAACTATTGCAACTTGTAAACTCTATTAAAAAATAAAAAAACTAATAAGATTAGTTGCCATCACTAAATAATATATTACAAAATCCGTAAGCAAAAGAGTGCATCTACTTTTTTAGGTAAAAATCACACTAGAATCAACTTTTAATTTAGCAACATTAAGCTTTATTTTAATTGGGTTGCTATGAATTGAATTGAATTTTTGGAGACAAATTAAGTTTTGAAAATTTTAAATCATAGAAGTAAATATTAATAATAATAATTTTATAAGAAATCAAAAAACAATTAAAAAAAATTAAAATTCTAATATTGTTGTTTAAGTTAAAAATACATTATTAATTTTAAAAATAAATTACATGTCAGTTACTAATTACATAAATAGTTTTACTCACTATTTTTATATTTCTATATTTAAGCTCTTAATCAAAATTATAAAATGATTATTAGTTCATCAAAAATAAATAAATTACTAAATTGATAATATCTTTACGAACAAAAATATTAAATAATATGATAATATATTAAATTACAATTAAAATTACAAATACATAGTTTTATGAATATATAATTAGAGTTTACACAAAAATTAGCTCAATTAGAATGCACATCTAAGCTGAAATAAAATGTTAAATAATATGTAAAATTAAAAAATAACTAAACTTCTTATTAATTGTATGCTAGCTACAAGTATAAATAATTAAAATGACTAAAATAAAAACAAAAATAACACGATGACAGTTAAGAAATAATAATAGTAAGTACTCTCACATAGATAAAAATTAACCTTACTTAAATTAAAACTAATTAATTAAAAACTGTCCTTAATTAACTAAATACTAACTTTAATTAATATTACGCTCAAAAAAGGAGATAGAGCAAAACTTTTCAATGAAACGATTGAGTTCAAGCCTGCGGTTATCTGAAAATTCTCTATTGGATTCTCCCAATCTCATAGTTTGCTTGTATTAAATTGAGCCAAACATGCTATTGGATACTCAACAACAGAAAACAGAAAAAAAAAAAAATTGAGTTTGCATAGAAAAGCCCACAAGGGCTAGGCGTTCTCGTGAAAACATTTGAATGAATTATATTTTTCTTTAATTTAAATTAAATCTAAAATGTAATCATGTTGCTTATTTTTAAATAACACTTGCTCCTACTTAAATCTGCCTCTCCTAGAGCTCGAAATAATAACATACTTGGAATATTGCTAAATAAAAGAAATTGCAAAAACTATACTTCTTTAATTAATTACAAAACTAGCCCAAGAATTTAGAATCATTTCATGAGATAGAGAAAAGAAAATTTTTTATGAGGCATTTGCAGTAAAACTATTTATAACAAAATTTTCCCTTGGAGGCTCCTTCCCTAATACTCCAATTGTCTCATATTAACTCAACCAATGCATTGGATTCTCACACACTAATGTCTCTAGCATTTTCATGAAAATACCAATCCCATATGGGTTCTCGCTCAAAATTATATTAAAATTTCACCCCGCTCATATTGCTAAATTAGAAAGTACGCATGCTCCAAGTTAAAATTTGCCCAATGCATATGGTAAATTGACTCTAGCAAATTGCCACAACAGCAAGAAATTACCAAATAATCTAAAAAAGATAAAGTAAAACAATAACAGAACACTCAGAATTACCATTGTTTCAAAGCAATTCATTTAAGTCCAAGCCTTCTAACAAACTAGATGATGATATCCTTGTGAGAGTTCAGGGGCTCCAAAGATCCATATTAAGTTTACTAACATAAAATCATGCATCACCAATGGTCAGCATTCAATAAATGTGTAAAAGAGTAAAGAACATCATGGATGAAAATTACCAAGGAATAACTTCTGGAACTGACTTAAGTTTACTAACATAAAATCATGCATCACCAATGGTCAGCATTCAATAAATGTATAAAAGAGTAAAGAACATCATGGATGACAATTACCAAGGAATAACTTCTGAAACTGTCAAAAATAAGATGCCCTCTTTTGGTTAATCCAGTTTGTTGATTATCAATGGTTTTAAGTTATTGATGCACTTGGTGGCAAAAGGTAGGAGTTCAGAGTTCAAGCTTTGCCTTCTGAGATAAGTGAGCAAGCGATGAAATTTCAATTCAAGTTACTACATACAGAAGGATTGTATAATGGTAGTTACTCTATCACAGCTCTACTTAACAGAAATAAAGGAGCTTAAATTTATGTTTCCCACATAAACCTCAATATGAAGTTCAGGCTGCATATTTTTAATTTTTTGCTTCTAGTCAAATTGGAGTAGATGTTACCTTTAAGCAGTTTTTAATTTTTTTGCTTCTACTCAAATTGCAATAGATGTTGTTATCTTTAAGCAGTCTTTAAATTTTTTGCTTCTATTCAAGCAGTCTTTGAGTAACAAAATGGTAACTTTAACATGAAGACAGAAAATATACCTGATTTTAGAACAAAGAAGTTCGTTATCATGCATGAGCTTCCTGGTCCATGAGGGCTTTCTATTTTGTTCTGTTAAAATTTCGTGTTCGCGATCAGAAATTGTAGCTTCCAGTGAATACAATGTAGTTAATGCTGACCGCTCTTTGTTTTTCTGTCACAGTGCACTAATCAACAAACAGAAGAACATGCAGAATAACAGCAATAAGAAATTTATGAACAAAGAGCAGGCAGCAAAACCTGTGTATCTTCCAATATATCAAAAATTGAAGTATAATAGCATGTTTCAGAACCAGTATGACAAGTAGGACCATCTGGCTTCCCAAGATATATCACCTAAGCAAGAGAATGCTATGATGACCAATTAATTGTACAAAGAGTAAGATGTCAAAGTAGTGCCCTGATTATTTATACGGAGTCATTTTAGTCCCGAAGTTTATAAAGTATTAAATTATTCCTCACATTATTTTAATAGGGGTTAAAATAGCCATCTTTGAAGACCATATAAACCCATATTACAAAGGTTTGAGGACTAAATTGATATATTCATAAACTCCTAACTAAAATGGTCACACCGTAAAAAGTAAAGGGACCATTTGGGGACCATTTTGACACTTTTCTCGTAGTTCATATATACCAAGAAGTAAAATTCTACAGAGTGGTAAATTGGTAGCTGAGGAGCCTTACAGAATCGCGGTCACAATCGAGAAAAACGTCGAGCACGTTAATAAAATTGCTTGAAGTCTCCCCTTTTGTCCACAAAGATGACCTTGAACGGCTGTAGAAAGTCGCCTTACGAGAAGAAAGGGTGGCTTCAAGAGCTTCCCTATTTGCAAATCCCTGCATTAGAACAGCTCCAGTGTCCACATTCTGAGCAATGGTAACCACTAACCCCTTGTCATCCCACTTTACACTGTCCAGTACATTCTTAACCTAAAATCCACCACCATGCAGCCCAAAAAGTGTGAAAAACAAACATGGTAGAGTCAGCATTCCTGAAGCCATAAAATAAAATAAAGAGAAAAGTGTCAAAATTGTCCCACGACTCTTTATAGTAGATCATTTTACGCCCAAAATTTATAAAATGTCAATTTACCCCCATATGTTTAAAATATGGGCTGAAATAGTCAAAGGGAAAGATTATTTTAGCCCCAAGTAAGAGATTCTATGGACTAGTCTTACACTTTTATAGATTATAGGACTAAAAATTAACCCATCTAAATGGTCAGAGGACTATTTTGATACTTTACTAATCTTATGGAAAGAAAAAAAAGACATTTTTAGAGAAACTAATTAAAGTTGAAGCTTCTAGTGTTAATTTGAACTAGGAAGACATGATGCAGATAAATGAACACCAGCACGTTAAACCTACATATAATGGAACGAAGAAAAAAATCTATACAGAAAATACAATCTAGCTTTATTTCCATAGACAAATAGAAAATACAATCAACAAAAAGTTAAACTTCATTGTTCGTCGAACAAACCTTGGGATTGAAGCAAAGAACCTCCTTAGGAGCCCTTGCTGTGATCGGACTGCAGAGCTTCTGACACCTCCGTCTGGTGGTAATGCTAAAAGGAAGAGAAGACCCACAAGTTCTAACTCTGGCGCTTGGAATCAGGAAGCACACAAAGTTCGTAGTTGACATGAGAAAAAGATCAACAATTTCTTCAACACCAGATATCAAACCGCGTCTGCTGGGGCTGTCGCGGCTAAAGGGATTTAAGATGGGAGGAGGCCGAGAAGAGACGAGGAAAATGAGAACGGAGAGAGGCACGAGCTGGGTGACGCGAACTTCGGACAACGGAGGTGGAGGCTGTCGTACGATCTGAGATAGGTGAAGGAACGAGATCTACGGCGCAGATCTACTGAAGACAGAAACAGAGGATGTGTGGAAAAAAATTTACATAGGAAGTCTGAGACACGGGCCCACTTCAAAAATGACAAAAAAAAAAAAAAGTTTTATTTTGCAGCCGACTCCGCCCTAATTCCGTCTGAATTAATGTTTCGCAAAGAAACATCGAGCGCGCGTATGGTGGACTCTCAGCGGATCATTTTCGGACGGGCGTAGTTGGGATTAGGATTCTGGAGAGCGATATTTTCTGCTCCTCTATCCCGTCGTTGGCAGGTGATGAATTATGAAAACATTGACGATAGGTTTGGAATGGAGGAGATTTAACCTACAAATAAAGAAATGCATAAGTTAGAAATGGTGAGTTTATCTGTTTAATTATTTTTTGAGTGGGTTTTGAGATGTTTTTGAGGTATTATGTTTTCGTGTTATTATGATATTTTGTGGTGTTATTGAGGTATTTTGTGATGTTATTGAGATATGTTGTGATATTATTATGGTCTTTTGTTGTGTTATTGAGTTATATGTTTGAAATGGAAGTTGAAAATGGTGTGAGTTTAGCTCTTTTTTTATTTTTATGAGGGTTTTCTAAGGTGTTTCTGAGGTGTTTTATTTTGGTATTATTGTGGCATTTTATAGTGTTATTGAAGTATTTTATTTTGTTATTGAGATGTATGTTTGAAATGGAAGAGATTTATCATAAAAAAAAATGAAGTTGAGATTATTTTTGAGGTATTTTGTGGTGTTATGGAGGAGATTTATGCCAAAATAAAGATAATATGATATTATTATGAAAATGATAAGATTAGTTTTTTTTTTTTTAGTTTGGTGGGATTGAAGATATTTATACTTAGCCAATTGCAAATAAATTTCTTTGCATCGTTGTTCACAATGAAAAAGAAGAATATGAAATATGTTGTGTTTGCTCATCATATTGGATTCATTATTCGCAAAAACCATGCTAGTTTTTGGTTGAAATCGAGGAATATTAAGACAAAGAACATTACAGGTGATAAAGCCATTTTTACGAAGGAATTGAAGTTCACTGAGAATGTCAAGTACAAAAAAACAGACACAATGACTGGTTTTCAGCGATATTCAATACGCAGTTGATGCTCAAGACAACTTGACATTTAAAAGATTTATAGATGCTCATAACCACTCCTTAGCGAACACTGGTGACAAACAGTTTCTGTGTTACAGCAGAAAAATAAGTGAAATCAATGCAAATGTACTCAAATCGATGACAGAATCAAGGAAAAAAAGCTACAGATGCATTTAACTTTCTTGCGATAATAGTTAGAGGAGTATAGAATCTTGAATATACGAAGAAATATGTCTTTAATTTTATTCAAAAAGAGAAAAGATCTAGAATTGAAAATGACGACTTTAATTCTCTATTACAATTATTCACAGAGAGACGGGTCGATGATAGTATGTACGTAAGACTTCAAAATTGATGAGAGCGGTAGGTTGATGATCTTTTTTTTTAGTAATGACACTTTCAGACTAGATTATGATTGTTTTGGGGATGTTATTATTTTGTATAGACTCCATAAATATAATTTATGTTGTGCTTCTTTTATTGAAGTAAACCATTAGCAAAATGTTCTCTTCGGAGTTGGATCTTGTTAAATGAGATGATTTATTAATTTAAATGGTTATTTAAAACATTTATTTGTATCATGGATAACAATCATCCAATAACAATTTACACTGATCAGAATCAAGAAATGACAAGAACCATAGAATATATTTTGCAAAATACACGACATAGATTATGCCAGTGACATATCAACAAGAAATTTCCTTCAAAAGTTCATTTGGGGTGGGTAATAGAATAGTAAGCAATCTTTTATATAAATGCAGGAGCAAATGCAACTCTGAAGATGAGTTTGAGCATACCTGGGTTGTGATGATTGAGAAAAGAAATTTATATGACTACGTTTGGCTAGATGATCTGTATAGTATTAGACATAAGTGATCAACAAAGTTTAATAAAGAAATATTTGGAATAGGAATTTTATCAACACAAATAGAGAGTCCACAAATAATATTTTTCATGGTGTCTCGAGGCCAAAAAATTTGATTACCGATTATTTTATGGACCTTGAAAATGTAATAAAACCATGGAGGTGAAATTAAAAGGATAATAATTTCAGGTGTGCTCAACCTGCAATTACTCCCGTCGACAAAAAAGCTCAATATTGAGGCAGGCAGCTTCCTTTTATTCAAGGAAGTTGTACTCAATATTTGAGGAAGATTTATTACACAGGTCATGTGGTATTGTTGTTGAATTTCATGTAAATTGTGATTCAGAATATTGCATAAAAAATTTGGATGATCAGCGGACAAACAAACCTTGAGTTGTTAATTTTGACAAGTCCAATTTTGAGATTAAGTGCAGTTGTAGAAAATTTGAAATAATTTGGTTATTTTGTGCTCACTCTCTACGAGTTCTCAACTTAGAAAATATAACAAAGATATATGATAAATATCTCCTACTGAGATGGTCTGCTCGTGCGAAAAATAATATCTGTAATAGCTATGAATATAAGTATCTCAAAGATGCACAGATGTGAAATGCTAATTCCTCAGTTTCATACGTATAAAAGTTTGCATATTAAATTAGTAATAATTCGTACATAATATTTAAATAACACCGACGAGAAACAATAATAATACCACTTGGAGTACCGCGGGAAACAACTAAATAATACCAAAGTAATACCTAAATAATATTGGTAAACAACACTAATAATACCGCCCGGATGGCCACATAAATACAATGTCACTTTAATAAGCCTGCAAAACAGCTATAATAAGATCTAAATAATACTTACAGAATACATATGAACTGCCTAGAGGGCTATATAAATACACTCGTGGAGCGACTTTAATAAGCCCACAAAATAACTATAATAAAACTTAAATAATACATAAATAATACAGGTGAACAACGCCAATAACATCGCTCAGAGTACCATGCAAATACTTTGCGGTTTCACTTCAATAAGCCAATAAAACAGCTATAATAAGACTTAAATAATACTGAATTAATATCGATGAACAAAGACAAAAATACCACCCGAATGACCTCGTAAATGCTCTCCAGTTCTGCTTCAATATGCCCATAAAACAACTCTAATAATATCAGAATAACACTGGTGAAAGAGCCAATAATACGTCCGGATGGCCACACAAATACACTTGCAGTGCCGATTTAATAAGCCCGCAAAACAGTTATAATAAAACCTAAATAATACTTACATAATACCGGTGAATAGCGTTAATAATACTGCCCGGAGGGCCACACAAATTCTCACGTGGTGTCGCTTTAATAAGCTCGCAAAACAGTTATATCAAGATTTAAGTAATACATAAATAATACCGGTAAACAACACTAATAACACCGCCCGACGTACCACACAAATACTCCACGGTTCCGCTTCAATAAGCCTTCAAAACAACTATAATAAGACCTAAATAATACTGAAATAATATTAGTGTACAGTGACAATAATACCGCTCATATGACCTAACAAATACTATGTTTTTCTGCTTCAATATTCCCGCAAAATAGATATAATAAGACCTAAATAATACTTAAATAATACCGATGAATAATATCAATAATACTGCCTTGAGGGCCACGCAAATACAGCTGCGGTGCCGCTTTAATAAGCCCGCAAAATAACTATATTAAGGCTTAAATAATACGTAAATAATACCGGTGAACAATGTCAATAACACCGCCCAGAGTACCACTCAAATACTCTATAATTTTGCAACAATAAGCCCACAAAACAACTCAAATAAGACCTTCATAATATCATAATAATACCGTTGAACAGTGCAAATAATACTGAAATAACACTTGTGTGTTTTTAACAGTATTATTGGCATTTTATTGGAGTGTTTTGGCGAATTGACATTCTTTTTTTGGTGTTATTGAAATTTTAATTACGTGTTATTGGCATTTTATAAGAGTATTGACATGTTTTAAGTTGTATTTTGGAGTGATTGAGGAGTTATTGAAGTATTATTGAGGTGATGTGGTATTATCCTTTGGTTATTTCCTCGTTATTAAAGAGCTCACTAAAGCATTATGATGACAAATAAACCACAACACTTAAGCATTATGATGACCAATAAACTACAACACTTAAAGTTGTTAACATTTCAGATATCATTGATGAAATTGAACGACATCTAACAAGTATAATTTATGTTCGCAAACAAACATACATCATAGGCATTCTCAGCTCTAAATTTTTGCATATCTTTCTGCCAACCTAATTTATCACTTCAATCAAGTTTGTTTATTTGATCTAATGTTTTCATTTATTTACAAAAGAACACATTGCGATAAAAGTCATTTCTTTGCACTGTAATGCCTTTGGTCATGCCAACTGGTCATTTGCACGGATCGCTTCTGAAAGCTCTCTCGACATCCTTCACAAACAGTTTAAACTGCAACGTTTTATTTTGAATTAAATTATTGAGAACAGAGACAATATTAAAATTGATTGAAGAATTATTGAGCTTCTGTGGAGTGTGCTTACAATGTCGTGGGTGATGATCAAATGCATTTTGTTAGATAAAGAGTCATATGATCATCATTTGCGCTTCTTCAATTTCCCAACTAATAATGTCTAATATTGTTTATCAATTATAGGAAATAAAATAATCTCTACATTTTTAACTATTCCATCTTAATGTGATCAACAAACGTTGGCATGTTTTGTTCTCTGTACAACTGCTAAAATAACACGATTAGTGAAATGTTTTTATGACGATGAAAATTCAATTTGCTGTAATTTACTTGAAGTTGGATTATTACCCAATGTAATGCAGATACATAGAAGTACGATCTCTAAAATGCTGGTGATTTTTTCCTCTTATTCTTCATTATCATTGCAAAATCATCTACATTGTCATTTGTAAGACATTCATAAGTCGGTATATCATCAAGGCTCGATCAACTTATTACAACATGTACCTTATTAATTAAAAGTTCACCCATGCATCATTAAACATCATATTTGTTACTTATGAATATAAAAGTAACGTAAATCATAAAAAAGTGAAAATTTACTAACATCTCATTGTATTTGGTAAAACATTGATCAATTACTTCTTGCATGGGAAGTGGTATTTGATCTCTATAAGGATAATCAATAATTGACGATGCTGGACAAGCCTATAAAACCAAATACTCTTCTCATATGCAGACTTAAAATAAA